AGCCACCCTAGTCATAGACTGTTCTCTCCGCTACCGCACGGCAAGCGGTACCAGAGCGCCAAGTCTAGGTCCAAAAGGCTTCTTAACAGCTTCTACCCCCAAGCCATAAGACTCCTGAACAGCTAATCATGGCTACCCGGACTATTTGCATTGTCCCCCCCCACCCCCTCTTTTACGGTGCTGCCACTCTCTGTTTATTATGTATGCATAGTCACTTCAATAACTCTACCTACATGTACATATTACCTCAATTACCTCTACTAACCGGTGCCCCCGCACATTGACTCTGTACAGGTACCCCCCTGTATATAGCCTCCCCTACTGTTATTTCCCATTGACTCTGTACCCGGTACCCCCCCTGTATATAGCCTCCCTACTGTTTATTTCCCATTGCTCTGTCCCGTGTACCCCCTGTAACTATACCTCCCTACTGTTATTTCCCATTGACTCTGTACCGGTACCCCCCTGTATATAGCCTCTGTACCGGTACCCCCTGTATATAGCCTCTGTCCCGGTACCCCCCTGTATATAGCCTCCCTACTGTTATTACACATTGACTCTGTACCGGTACCCCCCTGTATATAGCCTCCCTACTGTTATTTCCCATTGACTCTGTACCGGTACCCCCCTGTATATAGCCTCCCTACTGTTATTTCCCATTGACTCTGTACCGGTACCCCCTGTATATAGCCTCCTACTGTTATTTCCCATTGACTCTGTACCGGTACCCCCTGTATATAGCCTCCCTACTGTTATTTCCCATTGACTCTGTACCGGTACCCCCCCCCTGTATATAGCCTCCCTACTGTTATTTCCCATTGACTCTGTACCGGTACCCCCCTGTATATAGCCTCCCTACTGTTATTTCCCATTGACTCTGTACCGGTACCCCCTGTATATAGCCTCCCTACTGTTATTTCCCATTGACTCTGTACCGGTACCCCCTGTATATAGCCTCCCTACTGTTATTTCCCATTGACTCTGTACCGGTACCCCCTGTATATAGCCTCCCTACTGTTATTTCCCATTGACTCTACGTACCCCTGTATAAGCCTCCCTATGTATTCCCTGACTGTCCCGCCCCCTGTATATAGCCTCCCTACTGTTATTTCCCATTGACTCTGTACCGGTACCCCCTGTATATAGCCTCCCTACTGTTATTTCCCATTGACTCTGTACCGGTACCCCCCTGTATATAGCCTCCCTACTGTTATTTCCCATTGACTCTGTACCGGTACCCCTGTAATAGCTCCCTACTGTTATTCCATGATCTTCCGGTACCCCTGTATATAGCCTCCCTACTGTTATTTCCCATTGACTCTGTACCGGTACCCCCTGTATATAGCCTCCCTACTGTTTTTTTCCCATTGACTCTGTACCGGTACCCCTGTATATAGCCTCCCTACTGTTATTTCCCATTGACTCTGTACCGGTACCCCCTGTATATAGCCTCCCTACTGTTATTTCCCATTGACTCTGTACCGGTACCCCCTGTATATAGCCTCCCTACTGTTATTTCCCATTGACTCTGTACCGGTACCCCCCCTGTTATAGCCTCCCTACTGTTATTTCCCATTGACTCTGTACCGGTACCCCCCTGTATATAGCCTCCCTACTGTTATTTCCCATTGACTCTGTACCGGTACCCCCTGTATATAGCCTCCCTACTGTTATTTCCATTGACTCTGTACCGGTACCCCCTGTATATAGCCTCCCTACTGTTATTTCCCATTGACTCTGGTACCCGTACCCCACCCACCCCCTGTATATAGCCTCCCTACTGTTATTTCCCATTGACTCTGTACCGGTACCCCCTGTATATAGCCTCCCTACTGTTATTTCCCATTGACTCTGTACTGGTACCCCTGTATATAGCCTCCCTACTGTATTTCCCATTGACTCTGTACCGGTACCCCCTGTATATAGCCTCCCTACTGTTATTTCCTATTGACTCTGTACCGGTACCCCCTGTATATAGCCTCCCTACTGTTATTTCCCATTGACTCTGTACCGGTACCCCCTGTATATAGCCTCCCTACTGTTATTACACATTGACTCTGTACCGGTACCCCCTGTATATAGCCTCCCTACTGTTATTTCCCATTGACTCTGTACCGGTACCCCCTGTATATAGCCTCCCTACTGTTATTTCCACATTGACTCTGTACCGGTACCCCCTGTATATAGCCTCCCTACTGTTATCTTACTGCTGCTCTTTCATTCTTTAATTTTTTATTAAAAAATGTTACTTTACACTTATTTTTCTTAAAACTGCATTGTTGGTTAAGGGCTTGGAAGTAAGCATTTCACTGTAAGGTCTACCTGTTGTATTTGGCGCATGTGACAAATCCAATTTGATTTATATGTTGTTGACCAAGTTATCACCATAAAGTTCTTAATCTGGCGGGTCACATTGAGATTGTCTTTAATTTAAAGGTAGAGCCAGTGAGATGGCGTTGCCATGAGATGGCGTTGCCATGAGATGGCGTTGCCATGAGCAGCACCACAGATATTGGCAGCGTTCCACTGCTTAGACGTTGTCAGATCTTGCTACGCCTGGATTGGTATTTTACCTATCAGCTAACCGGATCATTATGTTATAGCAATCTGTCAGTCGATGACACAGTCAATGACGTGGCACACAACCATTGGTTGATGCATGCAACGTCTAAGCAGGAGAGCGTGACCTACAGTGGCATGACTGCTAGCTCCACGCGTGGCTAACCTTAATTAGACCAAAAAGCATACGCTACTTTCTGTTCCTAACACTAAAACTAAAACTGAAACGAAATAACAAAACAAAAATACGAAATATAAATGTTTTTATAAAACTAAATAAAAAATAGTAATCAGATCTGAAAACTAACTGAAACTAAACAGAATTTCTAATAAAAATCTTAAAACGAATATAAATAAAAACAAATATAAAAACACACAACTCTAATAACCTTGATACTGAGTGAGATTACATTAGCTTTTCACTATCCGTACATCTATTACTCAACTGCCTTGTCTTCTACTTGGGATTTTATCAAGTTACTTAAAGCAATAAAGTAATTTATATGTTGTTAATAATATTATATTATACAACATAGAAAACAAAAAAAGAAATGCATCTTGTTCAGCTACTCACACATCTTTGTACTTTGGTTTTGGCCATGACGTTCAGAAATGCTGACCTGACATTTTTAAGTGATTGAAATTCTGCAACATTCCAATAACATTGCTGTTTTTCTGTTGTTGCCAGTCAGAGAGTCACCATCCACCAACAACTTAATGTAGACATTGCTACAGCTTTCAGAAATCAAATGATTGGGATATTTTGATGATGCATTCAAAGGTCCTTCGAGCAGGACAGAGACATGGCTGTAGACATGGCTCTAAAGTGCGACCAATTTGGTGGAATATGCAATGAAATGTTTTGCTGTGCGACCAGAGAGCAACTAGGAAAATAATCTCCCAGATAATAATTGTTGTAATGATAAAGCTTCCCTGTACCGTTGTTTCAGAGTGCCCTAAAGAACAAAGTGAGTGCAGATTCGTTAGCGTCACGATTACACCGTTACTACAGTGAAAACGGCTTGCTTCTAGCCCAACCAGGTCAAAAGATCTGCCCCAGATACATAGACAGGTTAGCTCACACCGTTACTACAGTGAAAACGGCTTGCTTCTAGCCCAACCAGGTCAAAAGATCTGCCCCAGATACATAGACAGGTTAGCTCACACCGTTACTACAGTGAAAACGGCTTGCTTCTAGCCCAACCAGGTCAAAAGATCTGCCCCAGATACATAGACAGGTTAGCTCACACCGTTACTACAGTGAAAACGGCTTGCTTCTAGCCCAACCAGGTCAAAAGATCTGACCCATATACATAGACAGGTTAGCTCACACCGTCACAAAAACGATAACGCGCTTCAAATGGACAGAAGGTCATGTGTTGTCATGGTTCTGGATGGCCAGATAGCTAGCAGAAAACGACAAGAAATTGCCATGTGGTGAATCGTAAGTGGCTCGTTTCAGCTAGTTTGACCTTGTTATTGATACCATGTCTTGTTTCGAGGTGTTTTGATTGATGTCACGTCTATGCTAATATGGCTAAAATTTGCTAGCTAGCTAACCAACCAACAACTGTAACGATGTATTTGCAAGACAAGTGCTCATTGTGCAACATCGGAGACTAAATATCGTTGACATGTTATCAACAATCTAAGCCAACCCCTTCTGTTTTGCCCCATAGTTGCGCATGCGTCAGTTTTGTTGCTAAACAACCAACTGGTCTATAGCGGATTGCAGGGACCGCATTTTCCATTCATAAACCATGTCTTGGGCCGTTCTAAAACTACTCATGCGTCGTTAACCATGTGTTTACACTTTGTTCAGTCATGTTACCTCATTGGCTAGCTAGCTAACAACCTGGTAACTTTAGTATATTCAAACATCTGGGGGCACAAAAATAAAGGAACAGGGATATCTTCTTCAGGAGATCAATGATCATAGCAATGAACGAATGACAGATGTCTTGCATGTTGTCATCACAATCCTGAAGTGTTTAAAGAGACAGTGTACAATTTTCAATGTAATGTATCTCAATAGGAAAATTATGCTTTTACACAATGTAGAAACCTAATATTCCACAAATGACTTTGCAATTTCAATGACGGGTATTAGTATCAACATTTGAGCTTTTATAATGAACACATTTTTTAGGACACAACATGTGCTTCAAAAGTAGATCGAATTCATATAGGCCCAACATAGGCTGTATCTCTATCAATTAAAAAAAAATGTATTTTCTGGTGCTCCTAAGTTTAATGTGGTGAATAATGTTGAAGGGATACTTCGGGATGTTGGCAATGTAGCCCTTTATCTGCTTCCCCTGAGTCAGATGAACTAGTGGGTACCATTTGTATGTCTCTGTGTCCAGTATGAAGAAAGTTAGCAACTTTCTTCAAACTGAAGTATCCCTTTAATTTCAAACCATGGCTGTAGACTCATCTGGTCAGACACCATGCTGGACAAAATAGAAACTTCACACAATCAGTCTCAGATGGAAACAGGGCAGATAATGACTTGATCCTCCAGCATGTGTGTGTATGTTTCTGTCTGTGTGTGTTTGTGTGTGTGTTGAGTGCATTTGTGTGTGTGTGCGTGTGTGTGTCGGTGTGTGTGTGTCTGTGTTTGTGCGTGTGTGTGTGCGTGTGTGTGTGTGCATGCATTTGTGTGTGTGTGTGCATATGTGTGTGTGTGTGTGTGTGTGTGTGTGTGTGTGTGTGTGTGTGTGTGTGTGTGGTGTGTGTGTGTGTGTGTGTGTGTGTGTGTGTGTGTGTGTGTGTGTGTGTGTGTGTGTGTGTGTGTGTGTGTGTGTGTGTGTGGTGTGTGTGTGTGTGTGTGTGTGTGTGTGTGTGTGTGTGTGTGTGTGTGTGTGTGTGTGTGTGTGGTGTGTGTGTGTGTGTGCTACATGGATGGTGTAGAGTCAGATGGACACTGGGCAGATGATAACTCTGTCCTCTAGCAGAACACTCAGCACCAGGAACACAAAGTAGAGAAGGAACATGCTGAAGCCGAGCGTCTTGTTCATCTTCCACTTACACACAGCGATACTGATGATGACGAAGAGCAACATGAAGAAGCAGCACAAGCACAGAGACGTTGGAGCTGACGGCACCGAGCAAACATGGAGGACGCACATACCACGACTGGCAGCGGGGGGAGAGAAAGAGAGAAATCGTTTAGCTGTACAGCTAGGTGACAATTGAGCAATTTGACTCATAAAACTTTGAGCCCTTCTCAAGCCTCACCAGCAGTAAGTGTTCCCATGTCAGGGCTGGGGAGTAGAAAGATAGGAAATTGAATACTTTTCATAGCTTGTAGGTAGTTGAATGAATTACAATTTGGTCGGTTTTCGTAGTTAACAACTTTTACCTTGTAGCGGTGTAGCTAACTACTGAACTACACACTAATGTTTTACCCATGTCAGGCGGGTGAGCTAACTGGAACACATATCTAGTTTATACCATGTAGCGGTGTAGTTGAACTACTGGAATTACACATACTGTTTTACCATGTAGCTTTGTAGCTAACTCTGGAACTACACACTACTGTTTTACCATGTAGCGGTGTAGCTAACTACTGGAACTACACACTACTGTTTTACCATGTAGCGGTGTAGCTAACTACTGGAACTACACACTACTGTTTTACCATGTAGCGGTGTAGCTAACTACTGGAACTACAACTACTGTTTTACCATGTAGCGGTGTAGAGCTAACTACTGGAACTACACACTACTGTTTTACCATGTAGCGGTGTAGCTAACTACTGGAACTACATACTACTGTTTTACCATGTAGCGGTGTAGCTAACTACTGGAACTACACACTACTGTTTAGCCATGTAGCGGTGTAGCTAACTACTGGAACTACACACTACTGTTTTACCATGTAGCGGTGTAGCTAACTACTGGAACTACACACTACTGTTTTACCATGTAGCGGTGCAGCTAACTACTGGAACTACACACTACTGTTTTACCATGTAGCGGTGTTAGCTAACTACTGGAACTACACACGACTGTTTAGCCATGTAGCGTGTGTAGCTAACTACTTGGAACACACAACTACTGTTTATACCATGTAGCGGTGCAGCTAACTACTGGAACACATACTACTGTTTTACCATGTAGCGGTGTAGCTAACTACTGGAACTACACACTACTGTTTTACCATGTAGCGGTGTAGCTAACTACTGGAACTACACACTACTGTTTTTACCATGTACGGTGCAGCTAACTACTGGAACTACACACTACTGTTTTACTATGTAGCGGTGTAGCTAACTACTGGAACTACACACTACTGTTTAGCCATGTAGCGGTGTAGCTAACTACGGAACTAAACACACTACTGTTGTTACCATGTAGCGGTGTAGCTAACTACTGGAACTACACACTACTGTTTTACCATGTAGCGGTGCAGCTAACTACTGGAACTACACACTACTGTTTTACCATGTAGCGGTGTAGCTAACTACTGGAACTACACACTACTGTTTTACCATGTAGCGGTGTAGCTAACTACTGGAACTACACACTACTGTTTTACCATGTAGCGGTGTAGCTAACTACTGGAACTCCACACTACTGTTTTACCATGTAGCGGTGCAGCTAACTACTGGAACTACACACTACTGTTTAGCCATGTAGCGGTGTAGCTAACTACTGGAACTACACACTACTGTTTTACCATGTAGCGGTGTAGCTAACTACTGGAACTACACACTACTGTTTAGCCATGTAGCGGTGTAGCTAACTACTGGAACTACACACTACTGTTTTACCATGTAGCGGTGTAGCTAACTACTGGAACTACACACTACTGTTTTACCATGTAGCGGTGTAGCTAACTACTGGAACTACACACTACTGTTTTAACCATGTAGCGGTGCAGCTAACTACTGGAACTACACACTACTGTTTTACCATGTAGCGGTGTAGCTAACTACTGGAACTACACACTACTGTTTTACCATGTAGCTGTGAAGCTAACTACTGGAAATACACACTACTGTTTTACCATGTAGCGGTGTAGCTAACTACTGGAACTACACACTACTGTTTTACCATGTAGCGGTGTAGCTAACTACTGGAACTACACACTACTGTTTTACCATGTAGCGGTGTAGCTAACTACTGGAACTCCACACTACTGTTTTACCATGTAGCGGTGCAGCTAACTACTGGAACTACACACTACTGTTTTACCATGTAGCGGTGTAGCTAACTACTGGAACTACACACTACTGTTTACCATGTAGCGGTGTAGCTAACTACTGGAACTACACACTACTGTTTTACCATGTAGCGGTGTAGCTAACTACTGGAACTACACACTACTGTTTTACCATGTAGCTGTGCAGCTAACTACTGGAACTACACACTACTGTTTTACCATGTAGCGGTGTAGCTAACTACTGGAACTACACAATACTTTTTTTTGCAAAAATAGAAATAAAATATGGGTGAACTAGGCAATAATTTATTTTATTTTTCTGCAACAGACCTGCCTAATTCTCACTTAAAACATAGTTTTTGTGTTTAATAGGCCGAATTACACATTATGTTAACATCTGATTCCAGAGCAGTGGCGTCATGCCCATAGGGGGCACACGGGCACATGCTCCCTCAAATAGGGAGGCAGGTAGCCTAGCGGTTAGCGCGTGGGGCCAATAACTGAAAGGTTTCGGTCTCAAATCCCTGAGCCGACAACGTGAAAAATCTGTGGATGTGCCCTTGAGCAAGGCACTTAACCCTAATAGCTCTGGATAAGAGCGTTGACTCAAATGCTTTTTGACCCGTTTCTCTGTAATACTACTATCCATCTAGCAGTTTTATGAAGTTGGCTTTAGCCCAGAGAGGTTCCCAATCTCCCATCCTCATAACTAGCTACCAAGAAGCCATTTCAGGCTATCAGTGAAGTTAGTAGGTATCTTGTCTAACCATCTTCGCTGGCATGCCTGCTGGCAAGGTTGATAGACTTTAGAAAGCGGGCAATAACTACATGTACTGAATAAGACTCACATGCCTTTCAATCGTTTACCCAGATTTTCGCAGAGATGCAGAGTTTAGTTTCTTTTAAAAAAAAGATCCACCAGTCAGGAAGATACAGACAGCTCATGAGGTATGCTTAGATATGCATAAAAATATACATATTTTTTAAATAGATTATGGCTCTAGATTGCAGGAAAAAGCCCCTGCTCCAGAGTAATCTGTTCCTGCAATTACTAGTCTATGACATTCCAGATTGATATTACGTCTTTACACAGGATTTGGGAATGTGTTCAATACATTTATCATGTCATTCTGGGAGCCAGAAAGTAATAATACAAATCTGAAGGAACCACTGTTATTTATCTTAGAATGAGTTATAGAGGGACGGTCCCGTCTGGGGTGCCGGCTGGTACCATCTCGGTTGGGAGGGTCTTCCAGTGATGGTTGCCAGATGTTGGTTAAAACTTGTTTATCTTGAAGTATATAAACTGAGAGATCTCTTTGTCTCTCATACTGATCGCAAGAGGCAACTCTTGCAGCTTGTTATGTTGAATCCGGTTCCATATAATTAAATACATTGTGTCAAATCTCCATCTAAGAGTTTATTTGTATTCTTGCATTCTGACATCCTTAATACCAGAGAAACTCATCTTCTCACAGATATAGATATGATCATTTATCATTAAGTAATTTGATTCCTTCCTGATCTGTATCATTACTGCCTCTGTGAACTGTAGAGTAGAGTTATAGTACTGTAGTGGTACTGAATGGTACTCAACCCCATAGTGATGTCGAATATGTTGGAGCCCACAGAGCTGGACACAGCCATATCCCCCAGTCCTTTACGAGCCACGATGACACTAGTTATGAGGTCAGGGATGGACGTCCCTGCAGCCAGGATGGTCAGGCCCATGATCTCCTCTGAGATGCCTATGGTCTCTCCCACCTGACAGGAACAGGGTGTGTGTTAGGTTCTAATATGAATAGTTTGTTCTATTTGTCTCAGTAGTGGTAGTGAGAGGAACACAGGGTGTTGGTTCTAATAGTGTTCTATTTGACCCAGTAGTGGTAGTGAGAGGAACACAGGGTGTTGGTTCTAATAGTGTTCTATTTGACCCAGTAGTGGTAGTGAGAGGAACACAGGGTGTTGGTTCTAATAGTGTTCTATTTGACTCAGTAGTGGTAGTGAGAGGAACACAGGGTGTTGGTTCTAATAGTGTTCTATTTGACTCAGTAGTGGTAGTGAGAGGAACACAGGGTGTTGGTTCTAATAGTGTTCTATTTGACTCAGTAGAGGTAGTGAGAGGAACACAGGGTGTTGGTTCTAATAGTGTTCTATTTGACTCAGTAGTGGTAGTGAGAGGAACACAAGGTGTTGGTTCTAATAGTTTGTTCTATTTGACCCAGTAGTGGTAGTGAGAGGAACACAGTGTGTTGGTTCTAATAGTGTTCTATTTGACTCAGTAGTGGTACTGAGATGAACACAGGGTGTTGGTTCTAATAGGAATAGTTTGTTCTATTTGACTCCGTAGTGGTAGTGAGAGGAACACAGGGTGTTGGTTCTAATAGTGTTCTATTTGACTCAGTAGTGGTAGTGAGAGGAACACAGGGTGTTGGTTCTAATAGTGTTCTATTTGACCCAGTAGTGGTACTGAGATGAACACAGGGTGTTGGTTCTAATAGGAATAGTTTGTTCTATTTGACTCCGTAGTGGTAGTGAGAGGAACACAGGGTGTTGGTTCTAATAGTGTTCTATTTGACTCAGTAGTGGTAGTGAGAGGAACACAGGGTGTTGGTTCTAATAGTGTTCTATTTGACTCAGTAGAGGTAGTGAGAGGAACACAGGGTGTTGGTTCTAATAGTGTTCTATTTGACTCAGTAGTGGTAGTGAGAGGAACACAAGGTGTTGGTTCTAATAGTTTGTTCTATTTGACCCAGTAGTGGTAGTGAGAGGAACACAGTGTGTTGGTTCTAATAGTGTTCTATTTGACTCAGTAGTGGTACTGAGATGAACACAGGGTGTTGGTTCTAATAGGAATAGTTTGTTCTATTTGACTCCGTAGTGGTAGTGAGAGGAACACAGGGTGTTGGTTCTAATAGTGTTCTATTTGACTCAGTAGTGGTAGTGAGAGGAACACAGGGTGTTGGTTCTAATAGTGTTCTATTTGACTCAGTAGTGGTAGTGAGAGGAACACAGGGTGTTGGTTTCTAATAGTGTTCTATTTGACTCAGTAGTGGTAGTGAGAGGAACACAGGGTGTTGGTTCTAATAGTGTTCTATTTGACTCAGTGGAGGTAGTGAGAGGAACACAGGGTGTTGGTTCTAATAGTGTTCTATTTGACTCAGTAGTGGTAGTGAGAGGAACACAAGGTGTTGGTTCTAATAGTTTGTTCTATTTGACCCAGTAGTGGTAGTGAGAGGAACACAGTGTGTTGGTTCTAATAGTGTTCTATTTGACTCAGTAGTGGTACTGAGATGAACACAGGGTGTTGGTTCTAATAGGAATAGTTTGTTCTATTTGACTCCGTAGTGGTAGTGAGAGGAACACAGGGTGTTGGTTCTAATAGTGTTCTATTTGACTCAGTAGTGGTAGTGAGAGGAACACAGGGTGTTGGTTCTAATAGGAATAGTTTGTTCTATTTGACTCCGTAGTGGTAGTGAGAGGAACACAGGGTGTTGGTTCTAATAGTGTTCTATTTGACTCAGTAGTGGTAGTGAGAGGAACACAGGGTGTTGGTTCTAATAGTGTTCTATTTGACTCAGTAGTGGGAGTGCCAAAAGGAAGACAACCTCTTCTACTAGTCCTCTTTAATTATTCTACTAGTCTTGTACATTAGACTCATCCACTGTGTTCAAAAGACTGAGGATGCAGTTAGTATACCTTACCTGATGTGCCCACCACACCATGAGGTAGGAGAAGACAGCGATCCACAGGATAGACCCCAGGAAGGTGATCACAAAAAACCTCTTATATAGCTGCAGGACAGAAAGAGAAACACGTTGTCTTCGGTCGCTGCTTAGCAGAGGTATATTTACACCATACAGTTTGATAGACTCAGGGACAGTAAATGCCAACATCAAATACAAGCAGAGATTCTAGGAATTTGATTAAGCTAGTTCCACTACTTCAATCAGTTCCACTACTTCCATCAGTTCCATTAATTCAATCAGTTCCACTACTTCCATCAGTTCCACTACTTCCATCAGTCCCACTACTTCCATCAGTTCCACTACTTCCATCAGTTCCACTACTTCCATCAGTTCCACTACTTCCATCAGTTCCACTACTTCCATCAGTTCCACTACTTCCATCAGTTCCACTACTTCAATCAGTTCCACTACTTCCATCAGTTCCACTACTTCCATCAGTTCCACTACTTCCATCAGTTCCACTACTTCCATCAGTTCCACTACTTCAGTTCCACTACTTCCATCAGTTCCACTACTTCCATCATTCCACATTCAGTTCCACTTATTCCATCAGTTCCACTACTTCCCCAGTTTTCCCCTACTTCCATCATTCCCCTACTTCCATCATTCCACTACTTTTCCTCATTCCAAACTTCCCTCAGTTCCACACTTCCCAAAACAGTTTCCCCTATTCCTAGTTCCACTCTTCCACCCTTTTTCCCCCCTTCCCTCATTCCACTACTTCCATCAGTTCCACTCCTTCCCCTCGTTCCCACTATTCCTCAATTCCACTACTTCCTCAGTTCCATACTTTAACATTTTCCCCACTTCCCTCATTCACACTTCAATCATTCCATACTTCCATCGTTCCACAAAAAGACTACTTTCCCTCAGTTTTTCCCACTACTTCCCCCCATTTTCCATACTTCCATCATTTCCACCTTTCCTCAGTTCCCTACTTTCCACTTACTCTTTTATCAGTTCATACTTTTCCCTCAGTTCCCCTATTTCCAAACAGTTCCCCTCTTCAATCAGTCCATTACTTCCCTCGTTCCACTAATTTCCTCAGTTCCCCTATTAAATCAGTTCCATTCTTCTTTTATTCCACACTTTTTCCCTCATTTCCCCCCTTCATCGTTCCCCTTTAAACATTCCCCCTACTTCCATCATTTTCCACTACTTCCTCATTCCCACACTTCCATCATTTTCCAATACTTTATCATTCCACTATTCAATCAGTTCCACTACTTCCCCTCATTTTACTACTCATCAGTTTCCCCAACTTCAATCGTTTTTCCCCTACTTTCCATCAGTTCCACTCTTCAAAACAGTTCCACCTTTATCTTCCACTACTTCCATCCCCTTTCCACTACTTCCCTCAGTTCCAAAATAATTTTTTCCATCGTTCCACTCTTTCCTCAGTTCCATACTTCCATCGTTCCACTACTTCCATCAGTTTCCCTCCCATTCCCCTACTTTTCCCCCCTCATTTTCCCCTACTTCCATCATTTTCCCCTATTCCATCATCCACTATTCAATCTTCCACTACTTCCCTCATTTCCCCTATTTTAAACATTTCCCCTACTTCCACAATTCCACTACTTCCCTCTTCCACTACTCCATCATTTCCCTCTTCAAACATTTTTACTACTTTTCCACTTCCACTACTTCCATCAAATTTTCCACTACTTCATCGTTTTCCCCACTTCCAAATCATTTTTCCCACTTAATCAGTTCCATACTTCCCCTTCCACACTTCCCTCAGTTCCCAAATACTTCAATCAGTTTCCCCTCTTCAATCTTCCTTTCTTCATCTTCCCCTATCTCATTCCATTTCTTCTTATTCCATACTCATTCGTTCCACTACTTCAAAAGTTCCATTACTTCATTTTAGTTCCATATTCCATCATTCCCATTACTTCATTTGTTCCCCCCTCTTTAATTTTTTTTCCATTTCTTCTTTTAGTTTCCACTACTTCCATATTCCCACCCCTTCAAAACAGTTTCCATTTCTTCCATCGTTCCACTACTTCCAGTTCCCCCCATCCGTTCCACTACTTCCTCATTTCCCCTACTTCCCTCAGTTCCACTACTTCATCAGTTCCCTACTTCATCAGTTCCACTACTTCCTCAGTTCCCCTACTTCCCCCCAGTTCCACTACTTCAATCGTTCCCCTACTTTTTCCACAGTTCCACTACTTTCCTCGTTCCCCACTTATCTTTTCCCCTATTTCCCTCATTTTCCCTATTAATAGTTCCCCCCACTTCCATCAGTTTTCCCCCCTCTTCAATCAGTTCCAAAACTTCCATCTTCCCCTCTTCCATCAGTTCCCTACTTCCATCGTTCCACTACTCCATCAGTTCCACTACTTTTATCAGTTCCATACTTCCATCAGTTCCCCTACTTCAAAACAGTTCCCTACTTTTCCAAACTTCCACTACTTATCAGTTCCCTACTTCCATATTCCACTCTTCCCTTTCCTACTTTCCACCACTACTTCCATCAGTTCCCCCTATATTTCAACAGTTCCCCTAAATTAACTTCCCCAAAAAACAGTTCCACTCTTCCATCTTCCCTACTTTCCCTCATTTTCCCCAAAATTTTCATTTCCCCATATTCAACAGCCCTTACTTATCAGTTTCCCTACTTAAAACATTCCACTACTTCCCTCGTTTTCCCCACTTCATCAGTTCATACTTAATCAGTTTCCCCTACTTCCAAACATTCCATACTTTTTCAGTTACTACTTCATCGTTCCACTATTTTAAAACAGTTCCACTACTTAAAAAGTTCCACTATTAATCTTTTCCCCTTTTCCATCATTCCACTACTTTTAAACTTTTTCCCCTACTTCAAACAGTTTTCCCCATTCCCTCAGTTCCCCCTACTTAAAACAGTTCCCCTATTCCATAGTTCCACTATTCAATTTTCCACTTTCCATCAGTTCCACACTTCAAATTCCACACTTCCCTCAGTTCCATACTTCCATCATTCCACTTTCATCAGTTCCACTACTTTCCATCAGTTTTCCCCCAACCCTTTAACTTTCCCCTACTTCCATCAGTTCCCCTACTTTTAAACATTCCACTCTTCCCATTTTTCCCCTACTTCTCAGTTCCCCTATTTTCCCTAGTTCCACTATTTATCATTTTCCCCACTTCAATCAGTTCCCCCTATTCCATCAGTTCCCTACTTCATCAGTTTTCCCCTACTTTATCGTTTTCCACTACTTCAAACAGTTCCACACTTTCATTCCACACTTCACCCCATTCCACTACTTCCCCAGCCACTACTTTTATCAGTTTCCATATTCATTTTTCCACTACTCCATCAGCCCCCCCCCACAGTTCCACTACTTCCCTCCCTTTCCCTCTTCTCATTCCACTACTTTAAGTTCCACTACTTCCATCATTCCATACCTATTCCCTTTCCACTACTTCAATCAGTTCCCACTTTAAATTTAAATTCAATCAGTTCCCCCTACTTAAAACAGTTTTATCCCTTCCATCAGTTCCCTATTCAAAACATTTCCACACTTAAAACAGTTCCCCTACTTCTCGTCCCTACTTCCACAGTTCCACTACTTCAATCAGTTCCATACTTCAAACAGTTCCACTATTTATCATTCCCCTACTTAAAAACATTCCCTACTTCCCATATTCCACCTTCCCCATTTTTTTTTTCCACTACTTCAATCCTTTCCACTCTTCCATCAGTTCCCTAATTCCATTTTAGTTCCACTACTTAAAAAATTTTCCACTTACTTTTTCCTAAATTCCCTACTCCACGTTCCACTACTTTTCATTTTCCCCACTTCAATCGTTCCTACTTTAAAACATTCCCCAAAACTTCCATCAGTTCCACTATTCAAAACAGTTCCCCCTACTTTCCCTCGTTCCACTACTTTTTCCCCAAATTCCACACTTCCATAGTTTTCCCCTCTTCAATCATTTTTATACTTCTTTTATCTTCCCCCTACTTCCATCGTTCCCCTACTTCAAAACATTCCATATTATAGTTTCCACTTCCCTTAAATTTATTTTTCCCGTTCCACACTTTCATTTCCCCCTTCAGCCCCACTTCCCAAACAGTTCCACTACTTCCCATCATTACCCCCCCCTCCACTACTTCCATCAGTTCCCTCTTCCCCAGTTTCCACTACTTCCAAACAGTTCCACTATTCATCAGTCCATCTTCCCACAGTTCCACTACCCCTTTCCCATCAGTTCCACTACCCCTTCAAATTTTAGTTTTCCCCTACTTCAATCGTTTCCACTACTTAAAACAGTCCCCTACTTTTCATTCCAAACTTCCATCAGTTCCACTACTTCCATCTTTCCACTACTTCCTTCCCCAAAACAGTTCCATACTTCCATATTCCCTACTTTCTTTCCCTCATTTCCCCCTTTTATCGTTCCCATTTTATCAGTTCCCCTACTTAAAACAGTTCCACTAACTTCAATCGTTCCCTATTAAAACTTTTCCCCTACTCCCTTTAAATTTATAGTTTTCCCCACTTCCAAACATTTTCCCCTCTTCAAACAGTTCCACTTACATTCCCCCAAATCATTCCACTACTTAAAACAGTTCCATACTTCAAGTTTCCCCTACTTCCATCTTCCCCTTTCCCCTCATTTCCAAATACTTCCATCATTTCCACCCCAAAAACCCCTTCCATCAGTTTTCCCCTACTTTAAAAGTTCCCCTATTCATTTAGTTCCACTACTTCCCTCAGTTTCCACTTCTTCATCAGTTCCCCACTTTTAATCAGTCCATACTTAAAAAATTTCCCCCTACTTTCCCTCATTCCATACCTTCCCTCAGTTCCACTACTTTTTTTTAAACCCAATCATTCCCCTACTTCCAAACAGTTCCATACTTCCATCAGTTCCATATTCCTCATTCCACAATTCCCCTCAGTTTTCCCTCTTCATCTTCCCTACTTTAAACAGTTTTCCCCATTCCCTTAGTTTTCCCCTACTTCCCCTCAGTTCCACTATTCCATCAGTTCCCTACTTCCATCATTCCAAACCTTTCCCTCATTTTCCATACTTAAATAGTTTCCACATTTACATTCATTCCATACTTTCCCTCTTTCCACTACTTCCATCGTTTTAAAATACTTCAAAACAGTTCCATATTCCCTCCCGTTCCACTACTTCAAACAGTTCCAATACTTCCATCATTCCCCTATCCATCAGTTTTCCCCTATTCAAACATTCCATACCCTTCCAAATTTTATTTCCCCAACTTCCATCTTTTTCCCCTACTTCCATCATTCCTACTTCCCATCAGTTCCCTACTTCCATCGTTCCACCCTACTTCCTCATTCCACTATTCATCTTTTTCCCTACTTATCATTCCATTTCTTCCCTTCATTTTCCAAAATTACGTTTACTTCAAACAGTTCCCCATTACTTCCCATTTCAGTTCCCCCTATTCCCTCAGTTCCCCCCACTTCACTATTTAATCATTCCCTTTCCATTTTACTTTCCCTTCCCTTTTCCCTACCCTCTTCCCTCATTCCATTCTTCCATTCCCTACTTCATAGTTCCATACTTCAACAGTTCCCACTACTTCCCTTATTTTCCCTACTTCCAAACATTTTATACTTCCCTCAGTTT